AGATGGTGATAAATATAAATAGATAGGAAATCAAGGTAAGCAGAAGAGCCAAAGATACATTAAAGCTTGACATAAAAAGAAGAATCAACTCATTAATATGTTTATCAGAGCAAGAGAGAGCCGTAACTGCTGGAAAATCACAGAAAAATTGATGGACCACGTTGGACTTACAGAAAGAGAGGTTGAATATGTTTCGAACGTAAATGGAGGCATTCAGGAAACCGTAGATGTAGGGGCCTATGACCAGGTGAGCACACATACTTGTCGTCATGGTGGTGGTGTAATGGAGAGGCTTACACACTGCTGCATAGCGGTCATAAGCCATAGAGGCTAAGAGGAAAATCTCCATAGTGGCCAAGGCTATGAAAAAGAATATCTGAGCAGCACAGGCATTGTAGGAGATGACCTTGTCTTGTATAAGGAACTCAGCAATGACCTTGGGAGTGATGGTTGTAGAGTAACACAAGTCCACAAAAGACAGGTTACTGAGGAAAAAATACATGGGAGTGTGGAGACGAGAGTCCAAGATGATTAACACCATCATCCCCAGGTTTCCAGTCAGAGTGATGAGGTAAATGAGGGTGAACAAGACAAAGAGTGGGATCTGAAGATCTGCAGTGTTGGTTAGACCCAGCAGGATAAAATGAGTCACCTTTGTAGTATTCTCCATGTGACCTACAGGATTATATGAAAGGATGAGAAAAGAAAGGAGCACTTGGTAAATGTAAAATAAACATAAATAGATTTTGCATGCACACACATGCCTGTATTTCATTGTTTCCTCATTTTTCTATTATTTTTTTATTCTCTAATCTAGACCACTAATCAGAATGAAAAAAAAATATTTAATGGACATCTTAATCCGTTATTCTGTTGCTTACAGAAATATCTAAGGCTGGGTGAATGGAATTGAGTAGTTTATTTGATTCAATATTTTGGACACATGGAAGGGCTAAATGAATCACAGGATGGTAGAAGGCAGAATCTTGAGAAGAGTAGCTGTCCACAAGTTTCCACCTGCTCTGGGCTCCTTCTTCTTATAAACACACCAGAGCCAATAATAGAGTTCCTGCCCAAATCAATTTATTACATCGAAAGATCTAATCATGGTTCATAGTGAAGGGATTAAGTTTCCAGTTAATACCTTTTAAATACAATCAAATTCTACATATGGATTTACGATGAGACATCACATTATGACAGTGGGTATAGTATTTATAGGGTTACAGACTTTGGAGGTTGAAGAATTTATACAGATTACATGCCCATCTTCTTTCTGGCATAAATGGACATCCTGAGGTGCAGAAGTGAAGAAATAAGTTATGATTTGTTTACTGTCACATAATTGCAATAAATTCAGCTTCCAAATCAGATCACCTGAATTAACAGCTAACATTTAAAAAAATAATTTAATTTTATTTATTCATTCTTTTTCTAATTTGACCTGAGAAAGACACACACACAGAAAGAGAGAGGAAAAGTGAGAAAGCAAGCCACCAGGTCTGGGACTTAAACCATGATTGGCCATGTGGGAGTGTCCATTGCCTCAACCACCACGCCACCTGCTGGACCCAACAGCTAACTTTTATAGTGCTCATTCTAAGCACTTCCATGCATGCTTAATCAGTTTAATTACCTCAATGAACTATAAAAATATTGAGAATTTTTGGCAATTTATATAAATATCAAGTGACAGAGTCAAGTTTTGAACCCAGAAACAGTGATTCACAAGGCTCATATTATTATCTGAACTTGAATTGAATTAAATTTAACTTAGTTTTCATTTATTAACTTATTCATTAGACTAAGCTTAATGCTTGGAGCTGACAGTTTAATAACTGAGTCGTTTATATAAACTATATGCAGTGAGATAACAACTCAGCAGCTAGCTGCATATATAACAGCATAGACATTTTTTAGAGAGAGATTGTTGCTATAGGCCATGTGCTCTTGCCAGAGAGACAAAAGACAGAAAGTGAGAAATCACCGCTAAGGGGGATTGCCACACTACAATCCCTTCTCCAGTCTCCTTTTGCAATTTTGGGCATTCACGTACATGCATCCGGCAAGAGTTTGAGGCCACCAGGTCCAAAACTTGAACTGTTTTTGACCATGTGGGAGTCCAACAATGCAACTGTTACTCCATCTGCTGGTCCCTGCAAAGAAAATTCGGAAGAGATGGTAATGCAGTGAACTTGGGCTCTGAGAAGAGGTGTGAATGCATTCAAATAAGACTCATCACTTAGTACTGAGACATACTACTCCCATCATAACTTCTTTGAGTCTCATTTCAACCATCTTGAGATGCAGAGTAATAAAATGTAATAAAAACTGTTATAGTCCAACCTTGGTGGCACACACTCATGATGGTGAAGGCACATTTTAAGGTCCTAGGCTCAGGTCCTGAGGTCTTTCTATACATTCGGGACATGTGTGTGTGCCTATAATTTTGGCTGATTGAACCTAGGGATGGATCATAATTGATAGACCCTGTTGGGGGTTTTTGTCTCTCTTTGCCTCTTTCTATCTCTCTCTCTCTGTCATGGAAGATATAAATAAATTAATGAATAATGTTTTACAAAGGAGTTGTCATTAAGAATGAAAAGAAATTATATACAAAACCAGTTACCACAAAGCAGAGTTCAGCACAGGCTTTATGAGTGCTTGCTATGACATTCTAATCAGGATGGGGTGATGGTCTATATCTTTGCTTGGAAAAGCTCTGGGGCATGACCCTGAAGGAGTGGGTGAGTATGAAGCCTGGAATTCCTGTTTTGGATCTGCATTTTCTCATAGGGTAGAAGAACACTTATTGTTTTTTTTTTGTTTCTCTTTATGCATCACCCATTCTAAGTGAGGATCCAAGAATTTTTAGTTTAATTTTCCTGCCTTTCTATTTTTAAGAAGTTTTATTTTCTCTATTTATTTATTTTTTTAAAGACGAGTTTCATTGCTCTCTTCCTCTAACCTTAGTCTCCTAGCCTAGACAACATACATGCACCACTGTGCCTTATTCTTTCTTAACATGACCTCGCTATATTGCTTAGGTCAGACTTGAGCTCACAGACCTCCAAATTCAACCTTCCTGAGCTGTTAAGGTTATGGTACATACCACTATGCCTGGTCTCTGTGCTGGACTGGAAATTGAATATATGGTTCCCATATGATCCCAGAGTTCAGAATAGGAATTTTCCTTTTGTTTTTGAAGAGGTTTTTGCTATAGGGCAAGTACGCTCGCCAGACAGACAGAGAGAGACATGGAGACAGAAAGCGAGAAATCACTCCTCCCCCCGAGGGCATGGTCACGCAGCAATCCCTTCTCCTTCATTCTCCTCTCGGGATATTGGACACACACGCACATGCGCCCGGCGTGAGTTTTTTTTTTTTTTTTTTTTTTGTAGGTTTTTTTTTTTCG